CCTGAGCCTTTCGGGGAGACCACCGCCTGCACTCTGGTGGGAAGAAGGGAAAAGAGGAAAAATGGAGGGGGGGGCCCAAGAGAAGGAAAGCATCTTTGCAAAGGCCTTTGGGAACGTCCCAGGAACACATTCAGCGAACAGTCATGTTTTAACCGGTTGCAACCGCCAAGGGGACACGGTGCCTACAACACTTAATTTGTCGATCAGAAAAGATCGTCAGTTCGACGGTTCGAATCCCTAGCACCACGTCATGGAGCGAGCTCCCTTTACTTGTTCCAGCTTCTGCCAACCAAGCAGTTCGAAAGCACGTAAAAAAATGCAAGTAGAAAAATAGGGACCCCTTTGGTGGGAAGAAGGTCACGGTGTTCCATGCGCCTTCTAAGGCATTTAATCCTGCCAGCCACATGACCACGGAGACGTCTTCGGACAGCACTGTCTCTTGTAAAACTAAATGGTGCTTCACTTAGCAACTGGTTCACTTAATGACCGAGTTTCCAGTCCCAATTGTCATCCCAAGGGATCCTGCCTGTGTTAAGGACTTTTTTTTTTCCAGACTAACTTGCAGCCTGGGGATTTACTGTCACAGAGAGGAGCGGGTCAAGCTATTTTCCAAAGCACCCGAAGGCCAGACAAGGAATAATGGATGGAAAATTGGAAATTAATAATCAAGGAGAGATTCAACCTGGAAATAAGGAGGAATTTTCAACGATCAACCAATGGAACAGTAGCTTGGTCTCCAATCCAAGCTACGAAGCCTGTCCGATTCTTTTAGCCGTTCCAAGATTAGCCAAATTTACCCAAGGGGCCACATCATTGGACAAAACGCCAATCAGAATTTTTCCCAGAGCCAGATTTTCAGATCATTCCCCCCCAAAGAAAAAAAAGAAGGCTAAAACCCTCAAAAATAAAAGATAGGGTTCTTGAATGACATTTTGCTGCAGAAATTGGGCAAAATGGATGCGCAAGTCACACGGCAGAATCCCTTGTGTAAAATATGACGCACTCCGTAGGTTTCTGCATTTGCTCTTTCCAACTTCCTGCAGCCTCTTCTGAAGAGGAAGGTCAGATGGAAAGATATTTTCCTTGACATTTATTATTATTATTCTTTTACACAAGAGGTTTCCAAAGGCTAAAAACCTTCAGCAATGCAATTTAAAAACCATAAAATATTTGTGTTTTATTTAAAAAGCCCCCTCTCTGGGCTTGGGGGAACAAAAATGACATCATAGAATTCTTTTCAATTTGCTCCAGTTATTTGGGATGTTGGAAAACATAAGGAGCTTTTTTAAAAAATAAAATTCCCGGAAAAGGCAAACTTTGTCCCCCAAGGGATGCATGGCTTTACAAAACAGAGAGAGATAATCCATTTAAGATATACAGTATATGATTTTTTAACCAATGAATCTGTAGACAGCTTTATGATGGCCAATTAATATGACTCCCTCCCCTTTTGGGGTAAAATAATTCCAAGCAAAGGGAAATAAAAGTAAAAAAAAAAGAGATTTAATTATTCTTTGCAGGCAAAAAAACAAACAGCACTAACCATCTGAAACAAAAATGTTTTTTGGTCAGTAATGGGTAGAATTACAGGAGAAAACAAACCTGTGTTTTTCCAGTAAATAAGGAAAGAGGGGGACTTTTATGGCATCTGACCATACGTTCATCCCAACACAAGCACATCAAGGCCTACTAGCGTCATTGTTTCTCTCGGTGTGTGGTGTGTGTGGGTGTTCATTTCCACCCCTTCTCCAGTGTAGCTTAGGCTTTTAGTATCTGCATTTCTTTCTTAAGTCTTTTTGGCCCTGCAGTTTCCATAATATGCATGTTTAAAGCCCTTTGTAAAAACGACAACGCTACCTTGCATTAGTCACTTTCCTGTAAAAAGAAACCACAAATCTACGCAATTCCCAATGACATTTTTCTCGAAATGGCAGGCTCCGCACTTTCCATGGTGCATTAAAACCATTCACAAGGGACACGCCGCCATCTTCCGTGTCACCTATCAAGACATTCTCAATCACCAAGGGATTCTTTTTGAACAATTTTACAAATCTTGGTTGCCACAGCCAGCCTTGTAACTTCGCTATCGTAGATTCAAGAAGCATGGCATGGCAACCTGAGGCTCTTCCCCAGGAAATTGTGAGAATCCGCAGAATAGAATAGAATGACAGTTGGAAGGGACCTTGGAGGTCTTCTAGTCCAACCCCCTGCCTAGGCAGGAAACCCTACACTACTTCAGACAAATGGTTATCCAATCTCTTCTTAAAAACTTCCAGTGTTGGAGAATTTACAACTTCTGGAGGCAAGGTGTTCCACTGGTTAATTGTTCTCACTGTCAGGAAATTCCTCCTTAGTTCTAAGTTGCTTCTCTCCTTGGTTAGTTTCCACCCGTTGCTCCTTGTCCTGCCTTCAGGTGCTTTGGAGAAGCAACGGGTTGGACTAGAAGATCTCCAAGGTCCCTTCCAACTCTGATTTATTATTCTGATTACATTTTTGCAAGGTGGCTTTCCAGGAAAGCATTTCGGGAAGATCCCACAATCCCCAAATCTGGTTGGCATCAGGATAGCTAGATGTGACTTTTGTTTTTGGTTAACTTTAATCTTGGGGTTGATGTGTTCCATAAGCCACCTGAGTCTTTTTAGGCACGGAGCATCAACCGAAGTAAAAGGAAATAAGTAGATCAATCCACGGATGTCCAACGTTTGTGACCTACGCCCCAAGTGAAGTCTCTTATCTCACCGCAGTTACCTTGGGGTGCGAAGGAGCCTTTCCTGGAGATTGGGTGGCATTTCAGCAGAAACCCTCCATTCACACACAGTCAGGAAATGACACAGCCTCCTTACAAGCCAGCCTCTGTACCTGGAAACCAAGAACCATCAGTTAGCAGCAGCAATCCCCAACGTGGATTCTCTTCTTAGAAGTCATCCAGGCCACAGGCCAGAGATTATTCACCAGGGCGATTGTCAAGGAAGCCTGGATGAAGCTCACACACACATAGATTAAGCCTGTCCTTTGAAAGGGGTCTAGATCAAGGGTCTTCAAACTTGGCCGGTTTAAGACTTGTGGGCTTCAACTCCCAGAATTCCTGAGCTAACATGACTGGAGGAGGAATTCTGGGAGGTGAAGTCCACAAGTCTTGAAGTGGCCAAGGTTGGAGACCTCTGGACTAGAAGATCTCCAAGAACCCTTCCAATCCTATTATTCTATATTCTAGAAGATCAAGGGCCTTCAAACTTAGCCAGTTTGAGACTGTGGACTTCAACTCCCAGAATTCCTGAGCTAATGTGACTGGAGGAGGAATTCTGGGAGTTGGAAGTCCACAAGTCTTAAAGCTGCCAAGTTTGAAGACACCCTGTCCTAGATTGTTGTGGTCTCCATGGGCTTGTTTGCCACAGATTAAAAATGAAGAAATGCAACACGGGTATACACCCCGCTTTAAGAAAGCCAATACACTCTGATGTGATGGGATAACGTTATCCAGATCTAACTGTTGTGGCCCGCCAGTCGCCAACGGAGCTGGCAGCAGACTCGGACAGTGAGGAGATTGGGGAAGAACATGGGCCAGTCCTGGAGTCTGGAGAAGGCTCGGACGAGGGCTCTGCATCGGAGGCAGAGATGGGGCCAGGGCCCTCTGACAGTTATCAGCTGCCTTCAGAGTCGGAGATCAGTGGGGAAGAAGAACAGCTGGAGCCTGTTCCCAGTGTGCTCATGCACACAGCTGCCAGGAGAAGGGAACAGCTAAGGAACAAGGGTTGACTTGGGAGTAAAGCCACAGGTGGACAGTGAATGGCCCCTCCCATAGGGAATGAAAGAGGAGCGAAAGGGGAGCGGGGCTTTGCAGGAGACAATTAGTTCAATTCATGAGGGTGAAGATCTGTTCCTGACTTCTTGCCAAGTCATTGCTGCTACAGCGTGGCGTTTGGAAGATACCAGCCTGGCAGCTCTCCAAGCCTGATAAACGTCTGTAGTTGTGAAACCTCATGAAAAGACGGTTGGCCGGGATTTTGCTGGAGAGGAATTCCTTTTAACCTAAATAAAAGGGGTTTTATCGGGACGAGGAGTCCTGGCTTCATGATCTTGGGATGGTCTAGGTCAGGACACTAACCTTCCCCAGCCCTCACCTTCCATAACCTGGCTGATTCAAAGAAAAGGCTGGGATCCCCAAATCCAAGGATGCCAGTTAGATCTAGAAGGGCCCAAGTGGATGGCCTCCTATTTTGGACAGAAAAGGGGGAGGGGACCCCCCCCCCATCCTTCGCTTTGGTATCCAACGAATCTTTTCTCTCCTCCCTGCTGTTAACAACACTTTATATAGGGAATTCGGTATTTCAAAGAAACCTCGTGAAGTGCAATTAAAGTAATTAGGAACCAGGCTAATGAGAATAAAGTCTTTAATCCTCACTCAGTTCCTAGGAGGGAGAAAGCTTTGCTATCTGCACACCGTATTAATTCAAAAGAGAGGAGAGGAGAGTAGTAGGAGAGGAGAGGGGGAAAAAAACCCAAGAAAAATCAAAAGCCACGGAGAGTCAGCGATTTAAGCCAAACACTGCAGTCTTCGAAAGAAGAACCCAGATATTCTCATCAACGGAAGATTAATGAAGAATTACTGCTTAATCCTAGGCACCCCACTGACATAAGCGGGGTGGGCAGAATGGTTAGTGTTCATTGAGAGGGTTAAAACTGGCTTTGTCATGCCCCTGTTGGACTCTGATTCCAAGGGAGAGGTGGAACAGCTGACAGGGAGTGGGAGGTGTGGCTCCGTTGGCTGTGGAGGAAACTGGGGAAGGGCAAAGTCCGGCTGGGCAGAGCAGGAGAGAGGTAGAACAGGGGAGAGGGAGTTCAGAGGAAGACCCAGGCCCGCCCTCTCTTCATCCAAGGGCACGCAGGGAGGAACGGAGAAGGGAGCAACGTGGGTTGCGTGGCTTATGGGGGAGGAAAGGGCCCTGATTCCCTTCATTAGGCATACCTGGAAAGAGAATTTAAAAAAGATGCAAGTTGAGTGTGTCATCTTCTGGGAACAAACGTGAGTTTATCTTGTGTTGACTTTGGTTATCTGCGTTCCTGGCATCCTCCCAACCGTGTTGAATTACTGCCGTTCCTTCATGTCTATGTCTGGAATTCCTTCTCTTGCCCTGCTGGACTAATTATCTCATTTTGCCTTGATTGGACTTATAGTTACAGTTTTTGTTGACCATGTTTTGGACTCAATTTGCTGCAGCCAAAGGCTGTTCCTGGGAGAGTTTTTCTCCAGCCCAGAAGGTAACCAGGACATTGGGGGCAAAGTTGGAGCTAATAAAGGGACTCCTACGGATTATCTGACTGTGTTGCCTTTGTGCCACGCCCCTTTGGGTCATCACAATGAGTAGGAATCAAATACGTTGGGGTCATCCACCTCTCCTCTCCTCTCCTCAACTCACCTGGTGTTTTCTTCCGTTATGCTGATCGCATTGCAAAAGCCCATGGAAGCTAGGCGCTTGTGAAAGAAACATCCCTGAAGATCAAAAGAGACACAATTTAAAGACAGCAGCTCTTCTACCCCTCCAAAGTCAAGAGCCTTCCTTCGTTCTCCCATCTAGAGGAGAGAAACACAACACAACACAACTACAAACGATCCTGGCCTCGTCTTCATTAAGACCTTCCTAACCCAGAACAAGGCAGCCGAGCTTTCTCTCTCCGTAAGGGACAGGCCAGATGCTCCAGGACAGGGGTTCCCAATCTTGGCCAACTTTAAGATGTGTGGACTCCCAGAATTCCCCAGTCAATTTAAAAGAAAAACTGCTTTAAAAAACTAAACAAGTTTAATAGGGAAAAACGTTAGCCTCCCCTTGCCTCAAACCAAGGCTAAAACAATCTTTGTCCAAAACATTTTAATCAGAGTTATTCTAGATACGGTGTCAACTCATAAAATATTTCTATGGTCTTTTTAGAGTTGCCGACGGAAAAAGGGAGAGGGGAGCAGTGCGGCAGCTTGGAAAGCAAAAGTGCATTCCATAAATGTTTTCAGAGATAGTAACTAGGTGACTGAAGTTTCTGCCATGCAAAATTCTAACTGGAGAGCATGATTGATGACTCTGGGCTATGGACGTGTCCCATTGGAGAATATGAATTCTGATACACCCGGGGTGGGGGGGAACCAGGGTCAAGGGTCACAATGAATGATGTGCCTCAGAGTCGGCTACACCCAGGCAGTGCTGGCATGTTAACTCTCAATAAATCCTTTTGAAGTTTTGCTCGAGACTCATGATTTAAATGGGGGTAACAGCCGGAATCCTGACCTACGGACTTGAAGATCTAACTGCCCTCTTTCGACTCTAAAATTCAATTCATCAACTAATAATTGCTTATCGTATTATCCAAAGAACAGAACCAAGGGCATTCATTATCTCTATATGCAGATCATTCCCAACATACAACCACAACTGGGACAGAGACTTTGGTTGCTAAATGGTGCGGTTCTTAAACGAGTTATCAGGTGACCTGACCAGAGTTTCCAACCATTTTTACTGCGGTGGTTAAGAGAACCATGTGGCCATTAAGTAAATCGTGTGGTCTTTAAATGAATCTGGCTTCCCCATTGACTTTGCTTCTCAGAAGCTGGCTGGAAATCATGACCACCAAACGCTGCCACTGTCATAAAAGCGAGGCCGTGGCCAAGGGCCTGAATTGTGAACATTTAATTGTGGGGGGTGGTACATTGGTTGTAACTTTGAGACGGGGTTGTAAGTTGCTCTTTCTGAAACTGTCGTAACTTTCAAACGTTAAGCCAATGGTCATAAGTGGAAGTATTTCTCTGTGTCAACTCATAAAACATTCCTATGCATGTTTTAGTAGTTGCCATAAAAAGGGGGGGGAGGAGGAAAATCTGGAAGATCAGTTTGAAAGCAAAAGTACATTCCAACTCTTCTCTTTAAAAGATTGTAATTAAACTAACGGAGCTTTTGCCTGCGAATGTATTTAATTGGAGAACGTGATTGATGGCACCCTGCTCAATTGGAGAATCTGATTTATGACACACCTGGGGGGGGGAGGGGGGGAGACAGGGTCACAGGGGACCGTAAATGATGTAGGCCAGAGTTGGCTGCATACAGGGCAGTGCCAGTATGTCACCTCTAATGAATCCTTTGAAGTTTATGGAAGTTTGGCTGGAGAATCATGATTTAATTAGAGCGATTGCTGGAATCCTGACACTCTGCATTAATTTCCTCTTGTTGATGGCTTCGGAAGACTTATTCCTGGAAATTTCAAGGATGTTATAAAAATAAACATACAGGCACACACATACCAAAAAAAAAAAGAGAGAGAGAGACCAGTTTTGGCTTGTGTTAACTGTCCCTCCCCAATTCTAAAGATTTTTTTTTTTTAAAGGAAGCAAAAGGAATTCAATGAAATTGACTTCTTTCCAAATTGGCTCATCAGCGGCGTGGGAACCCAATAAAAATGGAATAAAACGCCGAACGAAAAAACAAATAGATTTTTCCCTCCCATCAATTCCTCACCCAGCTCTTCGAGGTGCATTTTTGGCAGCAGCGCCCCACAAAGGAACGGTATTTCCCCAAAACTGGTCTGATGGTGTCCAGGTTGAGCCCCAAGTCCATGGTCAAAGTTTGCACCTGAAGGAGAATCCAATAATTTTAATTGGTCACGTGGAAATAACAAAATTGACAAACGATTGTGTGTTGTTGTTTTTTTTAACAATAGCATTAGACAAAGAATGTTTGCTGCAGTAGATTGCCTCCAGCCAAAATCCATCAAGCAGTCCAAAGGTTTGCGGGTTTTTTTTAACCCTTTCATGTACTTTTGGAAAAAGAATACGTTTGCCAGACACCTGAATTTTGATTGCATGGCCGTGGGGCTGCGGCAACGGTCATGGGTGTGAAAAAAATGGTCGTCAGTGTGAGAAATGGCCTCGCGTCACTTTTTACCGTGTTGTGGTGACTTCGAACAGTCTGTCCGTTTTTGAAGCCATATTGAGACCAGTTGCTCCCACGGTGCCACATTTTGAGCCTGGGAAAAGTGGGAGGGGGGAAATTTCTTGGAGTGTTATGTAGTTAGACAGAACATTCTTTTTCTAATTCAAGGTCATGTGATTTCTGCACCTGGTTGAGGTGACATCTCAAGTAGGGACAGATCGCGATTGGGGCATGTGATGCGATGATGGGTGCAGGGGGTGGATTTGTAGTTTTTTTTACTTATTGCAAGGAAACCCACAACTTTCACATTCGGGATTCCCCAGATGTGCCAGTTACTATCCAAATAAACTTTTGAGAATATGTCTGTCTCGGAGTTATCGGTGGGAGAAGGGTTTGCTGGAATGCTGACACAGTCGCTAAATGAAGTTTTGTAAGTCGAGGACTACCTGTATAGAAATCTGGCATCCACAAACTTTAATTCTGGGTTTTCTCACCCTGATCCCCAATTCCTGGATACGTCCCTGCTGCCTCCCCCTCCCTTCCAGGAGGCATTTCACCTGGTGTCTTCCTCCTTACCCCAGTGTGCGTGTGTGTGTGTGTTTCTACATTAAGAGTTTCAATCCAGGGCCATGTTTTATGTTGTGACTGCTACACACCGCTTATGCACCACCAACATTCCTACGGTTATTGGGGGGGCGTCTAGCAGAATAAAAACTAAGGGTTGTTTTTTTTGTTCTGGGCCTTTCAGAAAATCACCTATATGCGTAACACACAATAAAAATGGTGCAGAAAAAAAAACGCACACAGCTGCACAACAGGAAGCGGTGCCACTTAGCTCCCTTTCTCTGTTAAAATGACAATGAAGGCATTTTAACAGCAGCCTACTGAAGATCGTGTTGCAGCCTGTGAGCTTTTTAGCACAGCCACGCTTGGTGGGGATCAGGTCAAACCCACCTATAAACTCTCCTAACCGGCCAGCAACGTATTAAAAAAAAACAAACACCTTTCTTCCAGCCTCGAGGAGCCCAGAAAAATGCTACCCTCCCACTTCCTCTATAAAAACCTTTCCTTTCGTCTCTTTTCCTCCCCCCTCCTGGTCTCCTGTTTGCAAGAGAACGGAGACCACATTATCATCATCATAGAATGCAAGGGGAAAGGGGAAGGAACTATTTGTTCACAACAGCTTCAGGCAGGTGTTGGCTGAATGCAGCTGCCTACACACCATCCCGGCTCCCACCTGGCAGGCTAACCAGATCTGAAATATCTGGCTTGGTGACCTTGGATTTACAGGGGCCTAAGCTAGAATGATATCAGAAAAAAGGTCAGATCCATAGACCTTGAGGTCTTCTAGTCCAACCCCTTGCCCAAGGGAGGAGACTGGTCCTCCTTCCTTCCTCCTTCTCTCTCTCCCTCCCTCCCTCCATCCGTCCCTTCCTTCATTCGCAGGGGGTTGAAAGGCACTTTGGAGATCTTCTAGTCCAGCCCACTGCCCAAGGGAGGAGGCGGTCCTTCTTTCCTTCCCTTCCTGCCTCTTTCTCTCCTTCCTCCCTCCCTCCCTCCCTCCTTCTCTCCTTCCTTTCCTTTCTCTTTCCTTCCTTCCTTCTTTTCTCTCCTTCCTTCCTTCATTTCCTTCCTCCTTCTCTCCTTCCTTCCTTTCCTGCCTCTTTCTCTCCTTCCTTCCTCTCTCCTCCCTCCCTCCCTCTTTCTCTCCTTCCTTTCCTTCCTCTTTCCTTCCTTCCTTCTTTTCTCTCCTTCCTTCCTTCATTTCCTTCCTCTTTCTCTCCTTCCTTCCTTTCCTGCCTCTTTCTCTCCTTCCTTCCCTTCTCTACTTCCTTCCTCCCTCCGTCCTTCCTTTCTCTCCTTCCTTCCTCTTTCTCTCCTTCCTTCCTTTCTCTTTCTTCCTCTCTCCTTTCCTCCCTCCTTCCCTCCCTCTTTCTCTCCTTCCTTCCTCTCCTTCCTTC